GTATTCAAATATCGGAAATAGCAGATACGTCTTGCTGACAAGTACCAAGAAAAATCTATTGATTTCAGAGCACCATAACTATTGCTGGTAACCTCAAAGCATCAATCCATTGAAAGTGATTGGTCATTATAAGTTTATACACATATAATTTTCCCCATTTTCAAATACTAGTCTTACTAACCTCACGTGAGTGTTTAAATAGTGCTGGAAGTGAAAATTGACAGAACTTTTGCACTGTTTTCCTTATCTGTGCTTTTTAGTTATGTTTCATCCGACTTTAAATAATGCCTTTTCATACAGACAGTCCTATAGATCAAGTCGAAGAGTACGAAAATAACAACTGAATGCAAATGACATCAACTGAGCTTAGGTAACTAGTTGAATATAATGACAAAATCTCGTATTAAAGTTATAATCAGTCGTTATGGGTGGTCAGACAGCAAGACATATCTGCAATCTTCAGGAAGCTGATATATTCTCAAGCTTGACTCAATCACTTTCTTTCTCTCTCTCTCTCTCTCCAAATATGTATATACATATATATATATATATATATATATATATATATATATATGTATATTCCATTCCTTTGCGTTCAGAGTGGAACATAAGGCTTCAAGCTTGTGCCAAAGAGTTTTGGTGGCCGAAGTGTTTTGTACGGGGTGGAGTTGTTAGCCCCACTCTCAAACTTTTTTTTTACCTCTTTACCGACCATACAACTGGCTAAACGAGATTTAGGAATGCGTCAGGTGGGAGTTGCACCCGGATCATATGCGTGGTTGGCGAGCATTCTATCAGCTATGTAATATCCACACTCTTAGCTAATGACAAGTTATCTCTGAAAATGCAGTATTTATCCCCGAAAGTCAGCATCCTAAGCTAACTGCATTGTCTACTTATATTGTGGTGGTGTGATACAGACAAAGTGTTCCAACGGAATATTATTCTCATGTATTTCCACAGTTCAGTACTGCGTTAGCAACAGAATACTACATGTTTATTTGAACATTGTGTTTGTTGCTAGCGTCAGAATACTGTTCCCACAGTTCAATACTACATTAGCAACAGAATAATAAGTGCATTTGAACATTCTGTTTCATTTCGTTTAATGTAAACAAAAATCACGCGCTCAGTGACTGTTCAAAGAATATAAACTAGGGGTTTGATCAAATGAAAATATACCTTGGCTTCTGTGTCTTGCGTTCTGTGGTTACGATATCACTTACAACTATCTGGAACACAATGATCAGTGCTTTCTCGTAGTATTTCAAGATGATTTTTACCAAGGTAGGCACCATGTTTATAATATTTTGTGTTGTGTTGCCTTGGTATGGTTAGCCAAACAAGTGCCGTAAATTCAGCACTAAATTTGTTCAAAGCAATCATTAAGGCAGCCTGTCTACTTACACTTCTATGTCAGCTCAAAATGTTTTTGTGCTACATTTCTTAGTGGTATCTCTCTGTCATAAAACTGTTTCTTGTAAACTCTAGCTTAATCATTGAATTCCTGCTGTGGTTTATCATTTTATCTACGACAGAAATGAATACGCTTACTTGGTACCCAGTTCAGCTCAATAAAGCAGCTTATAGTCAGTAAATAAGGTATAATATAATTAAAGACAGTGGTAATAATAATTATAATAAAAGTAGTAATAATTCTTTGTTTACGCATAAATTATTTAGTGAGAATGCTTTCTTTTTCCCTATGGTACTTAATATCATGCTGCGTTTTTACAGTTCATTGATTGACATTTCAGAAAATGTATTGATTAATGATGATAAAATTGCAAGTATTATTATTGTTATTATTATGCTCATGGACTTTTAGTGTTGAAAGTTTGCCGTGAAAGTAAGGTGTGGATTGAAACTTATCTATTGTGGGTAATCAGTTAAAATTGTGTTTTTGACAATGCTTTGTTCATGCTGCTCTATACTGGCTTAATGGGGCATTACATATTTTGTCTTTGGAAAAACAAAACTAGAAACAAAGCTAAAGAGCTGCTCAAATAACCAGATCAGATAAAGGGCTGGCTGCACCAGCAATATTTTGAACTATATGAATTACAGTTTCGGAAATTTCAAGGAACTATGATTATGTCGGTGGCATAGCGGTTAGGATGCTCGCCGACCATGCAAATGGTGCCGGGTTCGATCCCCGGCCGACGCACTCCTTTGCCTCGATAAGCCAGAAATAATGCTGGTGAAGAGGGAAGGTTGGGCATGAGGCTAGCAACCCTATCCTGTAAAAATTAAACACTGCTACAGAAACTTCAAGCCACTAGCTTGGAGCCCTATGTTCCACTGGGGAACGTGAAGGAAAAAAAATGATTATGTTTTTCAATAGGCGACAAAAAATGATCAAGTCTTCTCCGAGTGTTGCTCAACTGTTTTCTTAACTGAATTATATGAGTAACTGAAATCTAGAAGGGATAATATTCCAAGATTATCTGGAAATGACATTTAAGAGGGATTGTAGGTATGTGAAACTCACTAACCAGTACTTTGACAAAGTGACTAGTCGAATTACCAAAATCAATAGGAGAATATCGTGCGAAATACTCTTGTATTTATTGATTTCAGTAAGCGTAGAAATCATATGTGATTATGAACACTAAATTGTGTTCTAAACGTCGTCATTATATATAATACCATATGATTGTGTGCTTTTACCAAATAAAACTACTCCAAGATGGTGATGGTGCAGGATAGAATTGTGTTACCTCACAATTTCACGGTATTGTTTGAGAAAATTTCATTGTTGGAAGCAGTTGATTGCCTTACACGCGTTGTTACAATGCTACTGCTACACTGTATGATAAATGTTTGATTTAATTTTACAATGGTCTACTGAAATGAATCAGTGCGGATCACTGTTGAGAGGCGTTTTCCACATTTAAACTGTATTCCGAAACTATACATGTGACTTGGTGAATTTGAATGATTTTTTTATTTACTTAAGTGATAAGAATCTTAAAATAGATTAACTATTAATGAACTTTAATGAATTACTTTGAAAAAAAAATAAAATTCTTGCATAAACTGGAAGACTCGAAACAAGTCCCTTTCCTATTAACCAAATCGGCGGATTAAGAAGTAGTCAGAAGTATTTAGCGTTAGTTATCCTCGTAAGGATGGCAATATATATATATATGCATTTTTTTGTAAAGTTTTATTCTACTATGAGAGTAAAGTAAGCAACAAAATAATATACCAAATACTTCAACACAATGAATATTTACATAGTCTGATTAAAAAGAGCAGTGTATACACAACAGAAAAGTCAGTTGTCTTTGTGTAAAGCAAAGAACTGTTGTTGTTGTTGTTGTCGCTCTTATTTTTCGTCTGAGAGTAACTTTCATAATCAGGTGTATCTTTTTGCCATGGAAACCCTACAACAATATGATGAAGAACATTTCCTGATAAGGCAGCTTAGAGGAGAGTGAAAGAGGACTACGAGTTTTCTCCAGTTCTATCTAATCCGTTCCAACCACATGTAGACAATAACTTCATGTTTAAGTAACTGATAATTAACAAGTTATTCATGTCAATACAATGAATATCATTTTCCTTAAACAGTAGTAATGGGAAAGGAAGACAGGATCTACTTATCACGATTACTCAGATTTAACTACCACCTATTGGAATGTTGATTCTGTTGTTCGATATATAACAACAGAATCATTCTGTATTAAAATTGAGGCAACATTTAAAACATATAAGGATTAGTATTTCGCTAACATAAAATTAATGTAACGAGACACATTTCACAGTGAAATAGACAGAAAGCTCCTAGTGAATCAGTAATATTGATGGAAGTTAATATACATTTATATCGGTGTATTTTAAATCACATGCTTTAGTGAATGACAACTTTCCAGGGGTGCTGCATTTTGTTCTGGTGTTCTAGTGGATTAAAAATCGAAGTCAGATGATTACTGAACACTTGAAATATGACTTCACCAGTTACCCCGACTACTGAAACCAGCTATTTATAGGATAATTCACCAATAGCAACCATCATGCAGCATAACTGTTATCATACTTATTCTAGCCAACATTAATTCATACGGAATAATATTCATTGCATATATTGTATATGGCAATTATATTCAGTCCTGAATACATTACAATTCCATAAAGTATATCGACTTAAAGACACTTTAGTAGATGACGATATATACACGAAAACACAAAAATATCAAAATATATCCCATGTATTTAATTATGTTCCAGATTTTTATATGACATCAGATAGATGTGTAAACAAGAGTAAAATTAGATCTTTTCGGGTGTATTTTATCATCCACTTGGTACAGCAGTGACCACACAAAGCATAGGGACCCTTTCCGTCTCCTTTAATAAATAGTGCTTCTGCTGAAGATGTTGTCTAGATAGGCGATGGAAGCTTGACAATTAAACCACCCAGCTCAGAGAACTCAGCCACGTCAAAATCACTCATTTAAGCCACATGTCTTCTCTGTTATTTTAAGCTTGTGTTAATTAGGCTTTTGTAGTAATATTAAGCATAGTTGCTTCCTAATTTTCTGAAAGAATGAATTTGTCCGTTATAACTTTTCGGGTGTTGAACACAAAAACCTTGTGAAGTTGTTTTTTTATAAGATAACTTTTTGTACTAATTATAGGGAGTCTAGTTCAGAAAAATTAGTAAATTTAGTGAACCAACTCAGAATACAATCACTACTTGCCTAATGTTGTAATCTGTAGATGTTTGAAAGAGTACTGAGTTTAACGACGAGCATCAACAGGATTAGTGTTTAGCAATGAGAATACTGACTATGACAAAAACATGCTTTGTTCTAAAATGTAACAAATAAATAAACATTAAACCAGCATACAATCCTTCATGTGAGTAATTTTATTTGATTGGACATTTTTCTCTACTGCCTGTTGACATACAGTGATAGTAGAGAGCAAAATAAGGTTAAACAATATTTCGCTATTACTCATTTTTTGATATTTTCTTATACACTATATTTTAGGTTCGCTGTTGATACCGTGCAGAAGTTACAATGAAAATATGAATGCAGTTGCATTAAACAGTACTCCTCCATCGTGTTTATCAGCTACATCTTCAGTTAAACGAAAAGGTTGTCAAGTTACCTTCAATCTTGATAGAAATATGTACGTTGAATATCCTTATTCCGAATCATCCACTTCAATAATACAGTGTAAACGTGTACCTGGTTATATAAGTTCAAGTGGAGCGGCTCCAGGAGAAGGTGACTTAGTCATTAAAACAGCACCACGAGGTTCATTCAACTGGAGTAATGAAAACGGTATCACTACAATTGCAAAACCTATTAATGGCTATCATAGTGAATATACTAAGCAAACGAATTATTTAACCAATGGTTATGGAACACGTCCACTGGTATCAAAGTATAACCGATACTCATCTCCCCCACCACAATGTACTTCAAACTATGATTCTGATAATGGTACTACCAATAACAATAATATTAACAACGGTAGTCATTACACATCAACTGAATGTTCAACACAAAATGGTCATACGTCATCTAAACCGGAAATTCGTTTTATTGACACAACTATTGGACAAATACAGAATTCTTTTACAGATAGCATGAACAGTACAAATGGGGGTAAGCCACCAGTGTCTACAAAGTCGATAAACAATTTGAAGTCAATCTTATCAAAACCAACTTTTCGTTACAGCAGAAATACTACTACCAATTTAAATAGTAGTAAGCAACTCTACAGACAAATTGAACCGCGGCAGGAGCAAGACCCCATAGATGTAAGACAGTGTCCAGCAGTTGACATTTTAAATCGTAGGTGTTCACTTTCTTCCTAGTTTTTCGCGTTATTTTCTTCTTGTAGAAAATAAAGTCTCAGTTTTCGATCAAGTACCGTAACACTTTGTTTGGAAAGTAGATAACACTCAGAGTTTCGAAAAATTTATTTACCTCTACGTCCAGCCCCACCCCACCCCGCAATCCGATATCCGTCACCAGACGAACGTCATTCAAATGCGTGTTTATGTAAATACGATTTATTACCAATTATTTATTCTATAAATCTACTATAAAATCAAAATGATTTCTTCTTGACTTTCCAAACTATAAGTTGTGTAAAACAACAAACAGCTACAAGCCGAAAAGAGGAAAAAGAATAAATTAATTGGTGAACATTTTTTTGTTGTTATTGACCTAATGAGGTGTTCCTCTAATACTGTGATATATTTCGACATTGTATATTTAACTGAGTGAAGATCTTTAGAAAAGTGTGCTTCTTTTTATCTTTTGCTAGTTTCGATTTCGTTTCCCTCTCAGTAAGTTTCCCTGAAAGCAAGTTACAAGAACTTAAAATGGTTCGTGAGTGTATACACACTGCTATTTTTAGTCGCCTATTTTTCCTTGCTTAAAGGTGGATATTTATTTTGATCACAAAGCTATTTAAATACCGTTAATGTATTATGATAGAAAATACCTACTTACAATATTATTCTTATTTACACACTTCTATTAGTCTTGTGCAAAAAAAATCAGATTTTAAATAAATTAAAAAGATGCTATGCATTGAGTGTTTTTCCCTACCCTTCCTCAGTTCCAAAACACATCTGAGATCCATCACTACATCCATCTCTGAGAGTCTGTGCTAATATGAAGTAAGAGAAGGTTTAGTGAGGAATGCAAACAAGCAAATGCGGATCATCAGACTACACAATACACTTCCAACCGGTATATACCGCTTTAACTAACAAAGTTTTCGTAGCTATTTATGATAACACTTAAAAGGATGAGATAGGTGTATTATCCAGTACGTAAAATCTACCAAAGTCTAGATTGGTTGACGCCAATCCCAACCGATAGCTGCTACCTTGACGTGGTGGCCGAGTTTGTATATCGGAATGACCAAACAAGCTACACTGCATGGAACTATTGTTCCATGTCCGGAAGGTTGTTAGAATAGAGATTAGACCAAAAGCAGTTACCGGCATAGTGTAGGAACTTTTTTACACTATCCTAAAGTCTGTGGGCGAAGTCGTACTGCTGGGGAACAGGGATGTAACAGCACTAAGGTGTTTCCCTCAGATGACCAGCATGCCAGCCAGCCATGCTGTCTCTCCACTTTGAAGAGAAGGGGTTAGAAAAGGTAGACCCCAAAAATTGTGCATCCCGGCTTACCCTATGGTGATCCATAACCGGCGGTAAGTTTACTGATACGGAACCAAACCAAAAAGCCAGTTCATACAGGCCGTGTGTGACCGGCATCAAGCAGTTGTCCCCTAAGCTCTGCGGTCACCCAACAGTAACCCTCCTTCTGTTTCACGTACCCGAAAAATCAATCAACTTCCACGGTGTGGTCAGCCGGGAAGTAACAACCGCCCACACACTTCCAAAAGCACACGAAGCCTTCCTGAATATCATTCTTCTATACCCACATCACCTTTCCTCCCCATTACAGTCGGTACTATTCTGCAGGACAGGGAGTCATCTTCACTTCACTCTGTGACCACAAAAAACGATGAGAGCTACAGAAACACCCCCGACAGCCTCTTTAGACGACGTCGCCAACTTCATATAGGAGCATTTAACGTCAGGACCCTCTGCCAAATCGGACAACAGACATCACTAGAACTCTGGCGTCTCCAGGCATTGATGTATGTTGTGTATCGAAGACACGCATACAAGACCCGAGTGTTGTCATTCACCTAACCTCACCCTGCCAACAAGGTGAATCTGCAAAATTCACTTTGAGAGTGTCAGGAGACTCCTCAGCTAGTTCGTGAGGACTCGCAGGTGTAGGGCAGAGAAATCACTTCTTGACTGGATCCCAGCAGATAGTCGTGTATGCGGTCCGTCTGAACGGGTCCGTTGGAAGAAGAAAGAACGGTGTTACCCGTCGTTGTCTTTTCGTAGTCTCCGCTTACATCAAAACAGACTACAGTTCGGATGAACTAAATGATGATTTCTACCTGAAACTGTCTAATTTGCAGCAAAAAGCGAAACGCGCAGATATAGTTGTTTTGACAGGCGAATTCAATGCCCAAGTACGGAAATTGTGCCTGACTGAGAAGCATGTAGGTGGTACATACGGAGTTTCCTACCGACACCGGTGATCGTCTTCTACAATTCTGCTCAGATAATCATCTGTTCCCAGTCAGCACTAACTTTAGGCACAAAGAGAGACAATGTGTAACCTGGTGACCTCCATCAACAAATAAACGCTGGACTCAGATAGACCACAAAGCGATAGGATATCGTCGGCGAGGGTCAGTAGAAGACTGTCGCTCCTTCTCGAACACATGTGTAGACTCCGATCACACCCTCGTTCGCGCACGTTTATGTCTGTGTCCAAACGGACATAAAAAATGTTGGCAGCGAAGTAGCTACGTCCCCAACTAAATCGAGACTGAGTCCCTTTTTAAGGAAGAAATAGCGAAACGAGTATCTGAGGTCGACAGCAGTACTCCTCCTCCTCCTAAGGGAGCCTAGCACAACATACAGTTAGTTGTAGACAGCTGTAAAAGCTGTTGCTAACCTGAAACCTAAAGTCAGTAAGAGCCATTGGATTTCTATTACCTCATCCGAACTGATCGACGCAAGAAGAGTGATTCCGGCGAGCTCCGATTATGATGAGGAGCGAAAGCCGCTCACACACAAACTAACAAGGAGCCTTCGTAACGACCGTGAACAGTGATGGGTTGCAAAAGTAAGGGAGATGGAAAAGGTACCGGTGATTGGTTACAACAGACAACCATTTAGGATTATTAGGGAGACTGGTGGTAAAAGGCAAATGATAAGTGAAACAATCTCTGAGAAAAGTGACACCATCATTAACTCCTAGGATAGACGACTAGGACCTTTGGAAAGAACACTTTGAGGAGTAATTCAATTGGCCTACAACCACGCTCAACTTACCGAACATCCAACACCTCCCTCAATGGGATATAGACACAGGTCCTCGGGTCCTAACTGAGGTTACTAAACCTTTCACTAGTCTGAACCAGGGAAAGCAGCAGCACCTGGTGGAATGACTCCAGAGGTATCTAAATACGGTGGAGACAGTTTACTGCCTGAGTTAACTGAGGTATTAGAAAGAGTCTGGGAGTCAGAGGAATTCCCGTCAAGCTGGTGTAAGTCATTGATTATCCCGATATACAAGAAGGCAGACAAGTATCATGTGGTAATCATAGGGGGATTAGCTTGACTAATGTGGTATCTAAAGTTCTAGGCTCAATAATCATGCGTAGACTAAGAGGTTCACGAGAGGAACAAACACGAGAGAATCAGGCAGGCTTAAAACCAGGAAGTGGGTGTATTGATCATGTCTTCACCCTTCGACAGATTCCAGAACATAGGCATGCTTACCGGCGTCCAACAATCGTTATATTTCTTGATCTAAAGGCGGAATTCGATTCTGTCGACCGAGAGGTACTCTGGCGATACTTGGCTGTAAAAGGAATACCGAGAAAATACATTGCACTGATCAGGGCACTCAATCTATTCGAACTCACATAGTTAACCAGGTGAGAGCTTACGGCGAGTTGTCATCTGAAGTGGTGTCCGTCAGGGATGCCCATTATCCCCGTTTCTATTCAATTTCATCATAGATATACTAATGGACTTAACCCTAACTCACTCAGGGATTGACTCGTTACCATTATGAAATATCATTCTCGTTGACTTAGAATATGCAGATGATATAATCCTCCCATCTGGATGAAGACGCTGACAAAATGTCGTCTTCTCAACGCCTTGAGTTGCAATCTGCGATTGTTTGACATGCGATTCGCTCCCACGAAATGTAAGATGATGGGTGCTACAGGGCTGGACTACATTGGCTCCTAGCTAAGAAATAGGGAGTGAAGTGGTAGAGAGCGCTGACCATTTGACTTATTCAGGAAGTTGCATCAGCCAGCCCGACTGGTTGATCGCTGACGAAATCTCAGCATAGAAACAGAAGGTTCGTTCGGCATACGCCATCTCTGGTGCATTTCAATTTTAGCGGATACGGTGAAAAGCCAACCAAGTTTTTTAGAATTCTTGTTGATATCTTCACTTTTAATTTTGACTCAGTGTGTGCAGAACGATTTCTTGCACGGGATTTCTTTGAGATATAATACTTTTATCTGCTATATTCACACTAGTGTAACAGTTATCGCTTAATCATAGTGGCGGTAATCTATCGGCCGAGTTTATACCGCACACTACCTGTCAACATTGGAAATGATAGGTGAAATAAAACACAGCTTCTGACGTATCACACTAGTTTTCGCCCAGTGATGTTTTAATTTCTTCTACATAAATAAAGTACGTGGTTAAGCGTTCTCTTTGATGAAGACCCACATATAAACTACTTAACTCTCTCTCTCATTTCTACACTATTACAGAGTAATTTTTCAAAAATAATTCAGACTAAACTCCATTACATCAGAAAGATTAACATGATTCACTCTTTGGAGATCAGATTTTGAGGACAAGTCTTTTTGATTCTTACTTGTTAGACTAAAACACTACGGGCTTTTTCACCACTGAACTCAATGGATAAACAGTTTACAGGCCATTTATCCATATGGCAACTGAGACATTGCGACTTATTACGTAAGAAGCCTCGCTAACTAATCAAACAAACTGTTACATCATGTAAGCAGTTAAACTGTAAACATAATTTAAGTACAGGCTGACCATTTTCGCTATAGCTCAACAGTTTAGCTGCTCGAATCTCAACTATTATGTAACGAGGTACTGGCAGTAAGATATTATAAGTAACCTTCATAGAATAGGTGTGTATCATTGTATAGTGCATATTATTCTTGAGGAGCCTTTTTCCTTTAGGAACACTTTTAGGTACTGAAAGTGAATAGGCGTAAAAGATTATTGTGTCAACGCGATTAATCTCGTTAATCATCCTAGCGCAAACTGATTTTCCACACACTTTCTGTCGTAACATAATTCTCCGCTTTAAGGTAAACGAAGTATATTTTCTCTTATACTTGATAATATTAGAACAATAGTGGTGCAACCATAGAAAATATCACAAGTACAATCGGTTTTCAATCTCCTTCTACACCCATGTTTTCATTTTACATAAAATCACAGAAATCCACTGGACGGTGGCAACCAAAGATAGTTCCGTTCCGCTTCGAAAAAAACTATACCTAATCAAGAAAAACTGTTTCCTATAATAATCTACTTACAAACAAGAAGCAAACTGTAGAAGATATTATACTCTGACCTTGTTTTTCCCAGCTAACATCACTAACAATTTTCTGTCAAATTAGTCGGAGGAAAAGAACTTCTAAAATATTGAGTTATAGAGAAAGCAGACAAAATCTCAATTCAGACAGACCTTGTAAGAAGTCTGTGTTGGTTTATTTTTTTAAACAAGATTAAGTTTATTTTCACACATTTTCGGGTTAACTTGGTTTTTATTAACGTGTTTGTCACGTGTTGTAATCACGACTTTGTCATACTGTCTGAATACCTCTCTTTCTCCCTCTCCTTCACATGATTATGTAAACACCTTTACTCAGATCTGGTTTATCCCTCTATTTTAAGTCTATTCCTCGTCTTATTTCTTAAGAATGCTCCTACTTTGATAACGATTCCAGCATACTAATATTCTCTATACTTCGGAATACTGTCTGACTCTTTTCTTCTCTACTGTTCAAAACATGAAATAACCCTTATTTCAAGTTCGTCAGTCGAGGAGATAGTGAAGTTGAAATGATGAAGCGGCTAGGTTATGTATTACTCATTCTGAGACACCGCCTTATTCGACGAACAGTTCTGAGTAATAGAGGGTTATTTTGATTAGACAAAAACAACTAAGCCACTCTCATGAAGTCTTTGACTGATGGTTTGAGACAGGTAGACTGCCTCGCCAAGGTCCTCAAGATGCTTCGAATCAATAATCGGAGATCTTTTAGTGATATTACTCAAGATCGTCTGGGTATTCTCTAACCATCGCCTCCCAGATTACCCAAATCCTTATTTCTCGTCTTATTGTTGTTTCTCCAACACATTGTCTGTAGTAGCTTCAATTAGATTTCTTTGCTTTTTATTCGTGCTTTATCAAACTTCGATAAGTTGAACTGCTACATTTTTGTGCCAAGTTGCGAATTGATAATAATTCAGTTTAGTCCAATTCTGTCGTCATTACGCAATTGCATCTCTAAAAACTGTCCTTAGGTCACTGTGTCAACGATGGCATTGTCGTCCCTATTGTCCAGCAATATATAATTACGTTTTAGTATATATGTATATATATATATATATAAAGGTGACTTTGTAGGCAAAGAAAATTGTGTTCTCCATATTTCCTTGTTTCTTTTTATCATAAGATGAATTCACCTTACCTTATAACCGGAACTGGCACAATAATGGTAAGTTCCAGGTAGCTATCTATCTGATAGTCTTCAACTCGTGAATCATTCTTTCGGTTTGTCCTACTTAATTTAACAGAATCACACACAAAATGTACAGCCCGCTGCCATCAAAACATTTTTCAAGCGCACTAGTTGGCAGTATCAAAGTCCCATTTCATTATATGAAAAGCATTTGTTTAGCATCACGGAAAATTTGTAAGATAAGAAATAAATACAATACCAAAAAATAGAAATAGCATACATTGAAGTCAATATGGTGAATGATGCTTTTTGTGTTTGCTTTTCCTTTCTTTATGTTTTCTGTGATGCTTTTTAGATGACTTATGTGATTCTGAAATAAAACAAAGAAATTGAGAACATTAAAAAGCAATTGCATGTCTTATACTTTATAAAAGGAAAATACCTGGTGAAAACCACAATACACTTCACCTAGCGGGTTAGAATTTACTACTTCAATAGACACTGAAATCCCACTCATTTTTCTAAGGATCAATTTATCGATCGGCAGCAATACTTTTCTCTGATCTTAGGCAATATCACGTCAGATCAATATATGAAGCATACCTGACCATTCTCCTGAGTACTTGATTCTCAATTAGTGGGTCACAGGTGAGAATACCGGTTAAACCCCCTGTTAGTATCATAAATTTCCCTATAATGTGTGGTTCACAGCCTGAGACTAGTAACGAAGTTCAAACTAACTGATATGGTTGTTATAAACTGTAGTGCACTATGCCAGTTGCTACACGGTTATTGAGAATCATTCAGAATTCATCTGTTAACACAAAATAACATTTACTTTCTCTGAGCGCCAAATGATTACCATTAATTTTGACTTTAAACTATATCAAATTTTATTTCACGTCACCGTCTCATTGTAAGGAATCCATTCAAGAACTCTTCATGGATCCACAGACGTTGAGCACAAGAAACTACTTTTGAACTAAACGGATTAATCTGTTTGCTTACTGAGATCTCATTTTAGCAAGTTATAAAAATGAGTCAGTGGTGTATATACGACTGTGACACCATTTTCATATATATATATATATATATATATATATATATATATATATATATTACATCACTTTGCGTTGCAATCATGGACGTTAAGGTTGGCTGCTTATATCACAGCTAGTTATCCGAGGAACTCAACTGGAGAGAGAAAATAAGACATTAAATGAATCACTCAAATTATTAGGAATGGCTTACTATGGGGTGATTTCTTGGATTTATGCTGAGAACAACTTGAGGATGACGAATCGGACTCTTCTGAGATCACTAAATCATAACCTTCTCCTAGCAATGGAGGGGAATAACGTCTTATTGGACTGTTTCTTTTCTTCTTGTGTTCATGACTGTGAGAAGAATTCTGAAGGATATGTTTTCTTTTGTCAGTATGTCCCTCAGATGACCTAGGTGGATGATGATGCTTTGCATCTCTTGATTCCCTATGCTTTGGAACAATTTTGTGTTGACCGGGTACAAATGTGTTCTTTCTATATAACTGCCATTCTCGAGCGACCGACTGACTGAAATCCACATGGATACGCCTGTCATCAATAACAACTTTGTCCATTTTGAAATATGCATCTTCACAGTCAGTTTCTTTTTCAAATTCAATAAAGGCGTATTGAAGAGAAGCATTAGTGCGTTTATCCCTGATCACTTCACATGACTTAATCTCACCAAATCTACTGAAAATGATTTCCAAGTCCTCACTCGTAGTCACAGGATTAAGTTTGCATACAAATAATACATTGTTTGGTGGCTTCACGTCTGCATTTGGCAAGTCCCCTATCAATGTAAGAAGCTGAGTATGCGTTTTGATTTCTTCTTCTGCTTTGAGTTCTTCCAACCGTGTAGGTGAAAGTCCTTCTGTATCATCCAACTCTTCATCCTCTTCCAATCGAGTATCAAGCTATTAAAATGAAATTAATCAAATAAGTAGATAGAAAATTTATTCATGATAGTACGTCTTATCAAAATTAAGAAGATTAATAACGTGGCTCATTAACTTTCAGTTTGTTCACAGAGATTTGATTAGTTTCAAGCTAACTGGTATCAGCTACAGAACCGATGAAAACCAGGGGGTAGCGGATAGCTGTTTCGTCTTAGTTTTTGTCCTTGGAAGGACGCACCCAGGACCCACCCGGGGGATAGGACCCAAAACCTTCAAGCTACAAAGAAAGCCAGTTGGGCATTTAGCTACTTGCTACAGAATACAATGGCTTACGAATTCTAACTCCCATCGATTTGAGATATATAGCATCACAGCTGTGCACTGATGAGGAGTTCCAAGACAGCTGTCCAGTAATTTCTTGTTTCTAACCTCTCTCTAGCTGATACCAATTACTGATCTAGCTTGAAATGGTCAATCCAGTAAATAAAGCTGAAACAGAATCACTGGACAAAAGTTAGAAAGGCCTCTTTTGGTATGCATAGACGTCGATGATAACGTAAGTGGGACAAAAGTTTTGAACGGAAACCCTACCAATTAGAACGGAATTCTCCGAAAACAACTGTAGAAATGAGATGTGCATTCGCCATGAATGGACCTGTACTAATTTTGAACCACTCCACCCATAGATTTTATCTAGTCATCCTCTACACTAAGAAACGAATTACATTCCCAAAAGAATTCAAACAATCGCCCAACGATCTTGTGAATCAAAGGAATGTCTTTGATATGAAATTCGAAAAGCAAAAGATATTTTCATGGCGGGATTAATGGTAGGATGATGTTAGCAGACATTAAATAATTTAGAAACACTTCAGCATTATAGTCTTGTATGTCTAATACTGTAGCTACCAATTCTGTAAAAATAAGTCCGTATTTTTTCTAAAAACAGTCTAGTCTAAATTAAAATTCAGCACTTTGTTTTTATACCTTGACTGTGCCTTTCAAGTCAATAATTTCGACTTATTCTTATCTCTCTCACATAAAGTTGTATAGTGAATTCTGAAACAGGTAAAACTGATACTCATTTTTTCAACTAGGTTTTGTAGAGAATTTGTCTGATTGGTTGGAGGATTTCATCATGAGCTGACATCAGTTACAGAACCATTGGAAAACCTGGAAGTACTGGACAGCTGTTTTGTCCTTATTATCCAATGTCACTATCAATAACCCGCCTCCCATAGTGACATGCAAATTTTAGGAGTGCATTGAGCAATGATTTAGCTAACTTAAAAAAGGCGATCTAATTTGATTAACAAACGACTATTTACAGGTACTCAGTTAGTAAGAAAGCTGTATAGTAGAACTATATGAGAATACCATATAACATTCATTTAAAATGTCTAAAACCAGCATAATAATTTGATTTGAAATGCAACTGTTGCTGAACCTCGTTAATATCTCCCCAATGAATTAATTTAATACGACAATGAATCAGTAATATTGCAAACTGCACATGGTGTATATTGCTTTTTTTATTACATGTGGTTTTATAACTTTTGGATAAAATGTATAAGAAATCAATCAATCAGTAGTACACAGTTTGATGCAAATTAGATTATTCTATTGACTACCATTTACAGTATCAAGCAGATCAAATACTGTGATCGGAATAACTTGGTTCATAAAGGAAACTCCAGTGAAATTTCCGCACCTGAAATGAGTAGACTGCAAATTGCTGACCAGTTTGCAAATTATGAATGTGATTTATGGGAATGTGTGACAGTTGCACTACCCTACCGCTTATGAAACAATAACCAATAACAGTTTTGCATATTTCTCTCTGTTAACATTATCTCAGCTAAAGACCTTGAAAGATAACAAATACAATATTAATCATAATTTATTTGCATGGCGAGTTGTTGTATAAGTTTTTACGAGAGGCTCTAAAATGAGCGCAAGATGAAAGCGATATGCGTCTAAACTGAATTATTCTATTGTCAGCTATCTTGTTAACCTGGATCATACTTGGATTGTAACTGATAGTGACTCAACTGTCTGCCAACGAGCTAAGCATAATGCTAGGACGTGGTATTATGCATTCAACTGCGTTTGACATACCACGAAGACCGTTATAGATCATTTTATAAACCATGCGGAGTGGAAAATTTTTATCCGAATCGCATATCCAAAACAGGAAGATGCAGTAGGTAAGAATGCTCTATAAAAAGTGTAACTGTCACATGAAGTTATTACACCCAATAACCACAGAGGTGGAAAATGAACAAAGAGATGGAGATTTTTAAGCACAAACTAATGGAAATTTAACTCAACAACCAAAGGCATATTTTTTTTAATCAAGGGGATGACTCAGGTATCTTACCTGGATGACTACACCTTATTAGGTATAGCGAAATTGAAATTTGGCAATTTAAAAGAATGCACCACGGCTCCACAATATTACAATAAGAGAAATAACATATATGAATCCTACTGAAACCTCTAGAATGTTGAAGGTGATTACAAGTGAATATATTTACTGCCACCAATTTTGAGTCATTTCACTGGATGTATCTGACTATTGGTGCCTTGACTCTGGGCTACATGAAGGCAGTGTATACCAACCAAATCATCACAGAGAGCTTACAAACCAGTACTATTTGTTTTATTCCATCTAAAGAAATGATGGTTTGAATTGTACAATGAAGGTCGTAGCTTTCTTAACCTCCACTTGCACAAGTGTGGTATTTTAAGGTTCCAGGAAATCGTGTTAAATTTCTCCCTTCCACTAAAACACTAGCTGTAGAGAAAACCACTTCATTTGTTGTGGCCATATTAGTATTAAACTAATGATTCCAAAAATCCTATAGCATAATACAGGAATTTAGGACCAGTGTTAAGGTAAAATACATATTACAGCGGTTAGGACTCTCGCCGACCATGCACATGGTTCAAGGTTCGGTCCCCTGCCGACGCACACCCGATATCAATGGTTGGCCTGCTACATTTGGGATACCAATATCACATGCTGAAAATTCCATACTTGTATCAAAACTACGGAGTGGAATCAAAAAATTGAAAAAAAAAATTACCATCATATCATTGCTCGCTTGGGTTCTTACGTGGAACATATGGAACACCTCAATTTCATTCTAATCTCTGAAGTTATTTTAACTGCAGTCTGGATCGTCAGAAAACGTTTCATTTTCTCCTCACATAATGGCAAGCGCAACACACTTTCAGACACCCCTCCCCAACTGATGAAAAATTCTAATCTCAATGATTCGATCCACTCCTTAACTTTACTGTACTCTTAAACTCACTATTTGCCACGTTCCACCTAACACGAATAACTCAGAGGAAATGCCTACAATCGGAAACCTGGTTATATCTCTCAATGACTGTCAGGTGGTTATCACAAATCCAAAATCCACCTATAGCTACACTGTGGTTCGAGTAGGCTAGGGAAGAGATTTGCTACTGAGACTCTATTTATCAAACCAACACATGTAACCGAAACTCATTCTAAAAATCCTGCTACTAAGAAGAATGCAGGAGTGAAGCACTATGCGGTTGTCAAGATCTGATTACGAAAGTGACGGCGTCACTTCAGTACGGTTACGAGCAGTGACTTATGCTCATAACATCTGTGAAGTTACACGGACCAATAGAAAAAACATGCAAAAATATTATTTGGGTAGTCTGAAAAGGTTAAACGTTGCGAAGTGAAAAGTATTTTAGAATATTCACAAAACCTATGACACGAAAATCAATAGTAATGTAGAAATAGTCATACTCTGCAAAGATTTAAAAACTACGGAACCCAAGGAAGTATGAAACATTACCGCTGATATATTCATTGATGCTGGTGAGTCAGGATAGTTTATTCTTTTGATATCAACAAATGGATCATCCAGAACAAACGTGTGGTGTATTCTGATATTTCGGAACGGCCGTCCATCTTTATCACAGTATACTTCATTGATCTTGTGGACGAAATCCATGCCTTCAGCAACCTATAAAACCCCATTACCACCGAAACTGATGATCACATACATAACCAAAAACTGTGTGCTTATCATCTAAATAGTTGAGGTCATCTGACAGTGTTATGAAAAATTGAGAGCCATGTTGTCCCGCACCGTTGTCAACCATTGATATCAGCCCTTTTCTTGAGTGTGATATCTTTGGTTTCTTTTCAGCATCAAAAAATTTAGCCTGTTCACCGTATAAGTATCTGAAAAACGACCAACCACCCCGGCCTGTGCCACTAGGATCACCAGATTGAGCCACTAAATTTTTCTGTACACAGTGAAAAAGGCAGAAGTTGAAGTGTTTCATTTTACAGAGTTTTATAAAGTTCATGCACGTCCTTGGCTTTTCTTCACAGTACAAATCAAATACAATCTGCCCTAACGAAGTTTCCATCAACACCGCCATTTTTCAAACTTTGCCCAAGGTCATCAATCAAATAAGTTTCTAGGCCTGCAAATAGAAAGCTATGTGTTTACGCCCTTACTTTTCAGATAGGTATAGGTGTCTTTCTATGTCCCTGCTGAGTGATGCGGCTAAAGAGGCAGATATTAACTGCTCTGAGTGTTGCTTCCAATATTTTAGCAGATAATGATAGAAACAACAATCTATACCGATATAATTCATCCTTGAATTTTCAACTCTACTCCTGTATCTTCTCAGCAAATCCAATAAAGTGGAATGCAGAGGACAGGGTAAATCAATATTATACCTATTTAAAATACTGTTCACGTTATTAGATGTGATTTATTACTACGCATTAATCAGCAGCTGTGTGTAGCGGTAGATAATTCCCGAAAACTATTGGTCTGCAGCATTCATCACTCATCGTTGGACACTAACCTTCTCTGTTTAACTCGCCTCGTTAAGCTCAGTGTTGGTGGTTCAAGCACCCATGCAGTTTGGCATGCCGTCACGTTACGTTCGTATGTCCGTGCACAAACCCTGGCAAGTTGAGTGATCGATGGTCGTCGCGCTACGGTTTGGATCCCAAAATCTACTTCGTATTTGAACGATTTGTTTTCGGTCTACGCAGAACAAGTACTGTAGCAGTTGTGGGTATAAGAATTTGTGTTAGTATACGTCGCACTTTCCGTAAACGTAGACATCCCCTTATCTCCTGAAAGAGAATACACCGTGATAATCATTCCACGTATGATATGCAGGTAATCATGTGTCTGAAAGGTGATTACCCTTTGAAATCTTTCTAGTATATGTATGTCATCTAACAGGGCTGTTAGAAGCAGTTTTCGAGTTCAGACCTAATGAGTCTATAGGACTGAAAATATAACTTGTTATTACTAAATTGGCTGCCGGCTTGAAACACAGGGGTACCCGGTCAACTCTCTTTTCAAAATAACTGTCCAAAATACTGATCTGTGGCACGTATATGGGGCTAAGCTAGTTTTAGTTTTTAAGCGTGTATTTTGCAAGCACACTGGTGGGCAACTGAAGTGGGGAAACCCATTCAAATACATGAAAAGGCAATCGTCACTAAACTACGTTCAGCATTGAAATGAAACCTTACAGACCATTAAAAGACTCGGTGTCTACTTGGTTACTTGTCCCGCTCTTCTGTATTCTTCAATCACTGATCCCCTACCAAGTGATCCTAGTGTCTACAACATGTCGAATGAGGCGTGGATATCCTGCATTGGCTTTGACGCTACTGAACAAACCACTACTTCGAATCTTCGCAGCATGGAAATTTTGAATATTCGTAATGCATCCGTGTCGGTCGGTCGGTTTTCGACATAGAACTTTGCACATATGTGTGGCAGGTCAAGTCACCACACTCCATGTAGCACACAAAGCAAGAGAAGAAAGTAGGAGAAATGCATATTAGAGACAATAAACAGAGGTGTGAGACAAAGGAATAGTAATAACGAAGAACAAAACAGTTTAATTTGAAATCATAAGTCACAAGGAGTGGATGCATCTGCGACATTGAGAACGATTTTGAGCCATGTCACCAATTGTTTCCAACCATTGGTTTTTACCGTCCCGAGGACCCCAACCAGGAAGTCTACATCTTCCTACGTAGCTTAGACTAACTGTTGTGGATTTCATTGACTGGTGCCATGTTTTGGTTTGACCGCCGCTAGCTCTTTTCCAGCCTGGCCCTACATCAGCTAACATTGCCCGTCGAGGAAGGCGATGACTAGGCATACGTAGCACATGTCCTAACCATCTCAGTCGAAGTAATTTCACAGTCTCATCGATTGATTTCCCCGCCTTACCTAGCATTCGACGCCTAACCTCAATATTGTTCAACTTATTATACCACTTCACGCGGGAGATAGAACGCAGACACCTATGATCGAAGACAGCTAATCTTTTCATGTCTTCAACTTTCAATGGCCAGGTCTCACAGCCAGCCATAATGGAGGACGGAGCGGACTGATGAGCAGTACACGCGCCCTTTGGTCGATAGCCAGCCGGATATCACGTCTACGCCAGAGACGGCGTAAACTGGCGTATGCGAACCTAGCCCTCTGTATTCCTGTTGGGGCTGATCGTACTTCCCAAGTAATTGAAGCGGTCAACGTGCTCTACCACTTCACTTCCTATTTCTAATCTAGGGGTCGGTGAAGTCCAATCCTGCAGCATCATCTTACATTTTACAGGGGCGAATCGCATGCCAAACATACGAAGATTGTTGCTCAAGGTGTCTACCTAGCATTTTGAGCAGCCCGCAAACCTATTCGTTTATCTGTCTTACCCCCCGAAGATTTCTTACCAGACCGCTATCATCAGGATCACATCTTACACTTCTTGTACCACAAAAAAGGCTTCACACAATAGAACTCCCAACCCTGTGCAGAACAGTTGTGTGCTCTAGAAAAGACAAGTCGAACTTGTATATAATAATAATAATTTATATTTCGTATAAAGGAGTAAGTTTACAAGAAGTGCATGTCATTTCTAAGGCACGATCACTTATGTTATAAATTACAATCCTGAAGTATCATAAATTAATACTTTTTCAAAAGTTTGAATCGTTCAATTATTGTACAAGCAATCAGAACAGGTTCTTATAAATGTAAAATTGTAAACCATTTACTAATGCCGCCATCAAAGTTGAGCGACAACCCAAACTTCGTTTCGTTTCCTGCTGATCGTTATGGTCAACCAGCGAACAGCGTATATCTCGCTGAGTGCTATGCTACCACGTGATTGAACGCTGCATCTGAAACCTAACCTTTCACTGCAATTAAGCACTGTGTTTTGATAAACTTTTCCTCAAATTCAAAGAGAATTCACGTCAAAACGTAATATTTTTCATCCCTAGAAGAACAGGGGTTAAACTACATAGAATGCACCGATAATACTACAGAGAGTATGATTTGTCGTCTCTTGTAAATATACAAAATATCCACCTTAAACTCAAGGAAAACTCCAGTGACCTCCTCTCCAAAAGGCAAATATTGCCCTTAAAGGCAGTTCTATATGCACCGTAATTTGTAGGCTTTAACGTAGAAACATGAACCCTTGTAGAATTTATGTGGCATTCACTTTAGGAAATAGAGAAACTTTTTGTTGGGTACTGTTCGGTAGCCAGTGTGATGTGTCTGGTCCTATCTTCGGTGCAGACTGAATTCTTTCAGTCAAGCTTGCACTGTGGCCACCATGCTAAGTGGATGGCCATCACGGTGCACTGTGAATTGTTGGTACTAGCACGAAACCTAGGCCCAAGGCCTCCTGTCGATTGCCTCAAACTAGCTAAATGAGAGACTATTAGTGTCCCTACAGATACTTGCGAGTTTTTTTGTGTAATTTTGCCAGCACTTTTATCGTAAGTAACACCAGAAGTGAATTGCACTGAATACACATTAATACTGGTTACTGTCAGGTAGATTTGTTTTACTGCGCTCACGTCAGCCAAAACCTCCATTTGTCACTGCATTGTTGTCCCGTACCAGCAAGTTGATTAACACGTAGAAGGCTATTTGTAAGCCATTTAGATCATTGATACTGCTTGTATAGGATGCTGTACAGCGTCTTGTTATGGTGGCAGTGGATATTCCAAGGATGCTGAGTCATTACTGGCCAAATCTTGGAGGATAATATATGAGTAAGTGACTTCAAGTGTTGCTCAGCTTCAGTCTAAATGTAGATCTGTGCAACTTCTACTACAAGGCAAATATAAGAGAAGAGGCGGACAGCAAAGTACCAAAGAGGAAAGAAAAAGTATGTGGACTCGAATATGACCTTAATGTCCGTACTTATATGTTTATATTCGTTGTACGTTGCCATCTAGTAAACATATATGCTCATGTATCATGAATTACAGGCCGATTTACTAAATTCTCGCTATTTCAAGGGTTCCAGAAAAGACTGTTGGAAATGCCGCTTCCGAATTCTTTCCTCAAGATGAACTAATCACCTCTTATCAAAATAGTTGTAAAAAGCCGTTCTCTTGGACGACATATCATTTGCAATTTTTCGATCACATTTCATAGCTTGAACACCGGTATGATCACAGCAACTGGTATTATTCTGCTCACCCACTACGTAAACCCATTGTAAGCCAACCCCCTTCCAATGTTCTATCAACTGAAAGTTATAGAAAATCCCCCAAACATCGGACACAGACTACATTTAGCAAGCCAACAGAACCCACTCATACATTCTATGCATCTAGTAGGGAGCATGTGCCAATTTCTGCACAAAACTTGCTATGGTCTGATGACTACCCGGAACATATACAAACACTTCATTCTTGTACTGGCAACAAATTACCGAATACTCATATCGGTTATACTTTCGGGCAGGATTTTCACCAGCGCCAGTTAACAGAAACACCTGGCATCATGCATATATATGTGGTTTGTAGTATGAGGTGTGTTAAGACTGTTATTACTGTGAATGGAGTTGATCCTTTCACCATTTCGTCCTCCGGTATCTTCGTCAAAAGAAAAGAGATAATAATAGGTATAATTGGTGAAGTTATTCGGACTAAATGACAAGAGGAATAAGAAAACGCAAGAACAGTCAGCTGAATGAATTTGAATAATGTGAAAAACATATATATATATATTGGAGGCAATTCTTAACGACTTTTATCAGAATACTAACTCAATTCATGACGTCATTGCACCTGAGAAGATTCTTAGCTTCAGATTCCCCCAAAGCGATTATATTCCGACATCGTTTAGGAGAAGTCTACGAAAGCACTCAATAAAATACTACAGATATCATGACTTGTCATCACTAATTGCTATTACGTCCCTTCTCAATAGAACTAAAGAGTTGAGAAATATAGGCCTCAAAAACAAAGAAATGCGAGCCATTCAGGCACCGCATAACTCAGGAGAAATAGCCAAACTATGCAAAAGTAGGTTGACGAACTCCAAAACAGCTTATCCTAAAATATTATACTTAGATGGGATTGCTTACGAAAATAC